TGGAACACTAATTGTATCTATTAAGCTAATACAGAGACGCACAGGTTCTAAGAAGTGTGAGAATATGATTAAAAAAAATGACATTTCATTTCAAACCGACCATTTTCCCACAAAAAAACATGTTTTTTCTCCTTTTCAAAGACACATTCACATAGAGCGTAAAAAGCTGCACCTACCTATATCAAATTCACAGGGCGATACGATTATATATTGAGTGATATGGCTTCAGTAAGAGTCGTCGATCGCATTTATCCGAAACTTTTCCTCGTAATCCGTTTTTAACGAACTGTTTAATGTATTGAAATGCTATAATTTTTACATCATTAGATAGACAATACCCAATTACCCATGTGAGATAAGTTTTCAAAAATGTAGAACGTTAAATTACGGCGACATTGGCTCATAAACCACATGAAACTTTAAATTTTTGCCAAGAACCGAAATCATCGAAAATTTTGCATCATTGCTTATTAGAAGACTTTAGATAAAAACCATATTGATATTCGTGATCAGGATGATTGATTCTATACTGCAACATGAATTTGACCAAAAACAAAAAAGAAACTTTTTTCCAGGTGTGCCGTGCACTGTAAAAAAAAAAGGTATTTTACCGAACCCCCGAAAAAGGTTCCGGAGATCTGAAAAAGCTTGCAAGTACATTCAAATACTTAAAAAATGATTCTTCAGTTCTACAAAACCTTTAAAGGTTCTTCCCCTGGACGCACGGGAAGAACCTTCTCCTGCAAAACCTTTTTTAAAGTTCCGTACAGCAGAAAAAAGTTTCGTAAAAAGAGTACGAAAGCTTTAAAGTTTCGTATTAAATTCTACTGGCTTAGTACGAAGGGTGTGGGTGTGGGTGTGGGTGTGGGTGTGGGTGTGGGTGGGGTGGGTGTGGGTGGGTGTGGGTATGGGTGTGAGTGTGTGGGGTGTGGGTAGAAGTGTTAGCCGATCATTTTATCGGCGGCGGCGACGACAAAATGTTTCCTATGTTATTTCACAGAGTCTTTCGTAGATTCCTACCGTTAAGACAAACATTAGACGTTCTGTCCTCACAGAATTATACCGCTGTTTTCCTCTTAGCACGCTCATGTCTTTTCATGGAATAATTTTTCCACTAGATGTAACTTTATTTTCATTAATTCAAAAAATTCACATTGTCCCATCATAAAATAACTTCAAACCGCACAACAAGAACTCATAATAGAAGCCGAAATGGCAATAATGTGACTATCCATCTAAAATGCAAACTAAATTCAAGCATGATAGCTTGTGGCTGGCACTTTATCTTTACTTTACCAAATAGAGTAAAATATTAGAACTTTACTTTACCCGATCAAGTAAAGTTAAATACTTTACTTGATCCGATAAAATAAACTTAAATACTTTACTTGATCCGATAAAATAAAGTTAAATACTTTACTTTACCCGTTAAAGTAAAGTTAAATACGTTACCCAAAAAGTAAAGTAAAGTAAAGTGAAAAAAAATGAAGCTGTATGTTTTAAATTTTTTGGCAATTTCTTAGTTCAGGATCGTGTAGAAATAATCTTAGAACGTGTCAAAGTTTACTCAATATCGTTTCGTCTTAAAATTAGTGTGGAAAAAAATAAGTAAAGCCGAAAAATGTCGATTTTTTATGAATACATGAAAAATATTGTTTGGTTAACTTTATCCCACTTTATTATCCACATTCAAACTATAGTATTTTACTTTGCTCTACTTTACTTTACTTTACTTTTTCAAAGTAAAATAAAGATAATGTGCCATCCCTATGCTAGCTCGAATTAGATCATAAGTGAAACTAACATTGAAATTAGAATTTGAATCCAAATCCAAATTCAAATCCATACTTTTCTGTGAGTGGAGAAAACCAGCAAGATTTGTTTTCATTGATTATTTGAATTCAAATTGAAACTAAATATTTTTCTTTTTTCTAAACTGGCAGGAGAGTGTCGATTGGAATTCGAATTCGAATCGCAATGTTAGTTACATTTACATTCGAACTCAAACTAGACAGTTAGTCGAAACTGCATACTGAATAAGTCAAGAATTGCGAAACGGAGAAAATAATAGCGATGAATATATTGTGCATGAAGGAATAAGGCAAATGAAAACCTAATAAATATGGTAGCGTCACAAAATCACAAGGAGACATATTTGCTTATCAGCTCGGTTTTCAGACCATATGTCATCCAAGAAAAAATGCACTAATTCCTATTTTTTAAAAGTTCTGTTGGTTTCAGCAATCTCTAATTGTCACATAGATCAAACTTGAGATATTACTGATTATTATCAACAAGTGATAATTTAGAAAAAGAGGAAGCTTGAACTGCGATCTTTCACTCGATCGGCGGCGGCGGCGAAAAATCGGCGGCTAACACCTCTAGGTGTGGATATGTGGGTATGGGTGTAAGTGTGAGTGTGTGGGTATGGGTGTGTGGTGTGGGTGGGTGTCGGTATGTGGATATGAGTGTGAGTGTGAGTGTATGGGTATGGGTGTGGATGTGTGCTGTGAGAAAAAAATTGGAGTTGTGCAAAAACCTTTTCGGGGGTGATGCTGTTGAGTACTAGACAGAACCTTCAAAAGATGGTTCTGCCTGGAAAAGGATTCCGTAATAAATTGGTGAAACCATTCCTAATTTTTTAGACTGGTTCTGCCCTTCGCATAAAGTGTTATACCATTTAAATGGTTCATCATTGAACCTTTCCTACGTGGAAACATTCCCAAGTGATACTCATGGTTTGGGCTCATATTTCGCTCATAAGTACGATTCAGTATGATCAGAAAATCCCTAAAAGATTTCGTGCCATTAGGCCTTTATTTCAAAGTTATGACCGGTATACCGGATTTTCAACCTTGGACAAGCAGTTTATACAAAATTGAATGAAAGCATTTCGGGCTGAAATTTTGCTTAACAGTAGATTTCATCAATCTCAGAAGGTTGTTAAACTTTCAGTTAAAGCAGATCCTTGCTGCTCGAGATATTTGCATACTGAACAAAAGTGCCATTTTCGAAAAATTGTCATAATATTTACTTCTTTTAATATGCAATATCTTGAGCGAGGTTATGGCAAATCTTAAATTGTAACCAGCTTTCATTAAATATCTGGCCTATGATATCTGGTGTTTCATCTGCCCACCAGATATTTACACCTGGCAACATTCAGAAAATTGATAAGATATCAGATATTTACCTTTTCTCTATAATTTGCAAATGTTGACTGAGATGTTGGTGAAACTTACACTCTCATGCCTTTCATGTGAATACCTAGCGGATATCAGATATCAGAAATTTACCTTTTCTCCATAATTTGCAAATTTTGACTGACATGTTAGTAAAAGTCATAGGCTGATGCCTTTCATTCTGAATAACTAGCAGATATTCGATATTAGATATTTACCTTTTCTGTATAATTTGCAAATTTTGACTGAAACGCTAATAAATCTCATAGACTGATGCTTTTCACGCCAACAGCAAGCAGATATCAGATATCAGATATTTAAGTTAAATATTTGATATCTGATATCTGCTTGCTATTCACATGAAACCAGATATCAAATATCGAATATTTAACTTAAATATCCGATATCAGATATCCGCTAGCTATTCACATGGAAGGCATCCGTCTACGAGTTTTACCAACATCTCAGTCCAAATTTGCAAATTATAGAGAAAAGGTAAATATCTGATATCTTGTATCTTGTCAATTTTCTGAATGTTGCCAGGTATAAAGGGTGTGGATGTGGGTATGGGTGTGCGTGTGTGGGTGGGTGTGGGTGTGGGTGGGTGTGGATGTGGGTGTGGGGTGTGGGTGTGGGTGTGG